GACATGCTGGATAAATTAATCTCCTCCAACAAATGGGAATTTCACAAATTCATGAAATCTCCATCTCTAAGTTTATTTATGTGCTCTGTGACCGATAATTGTTATCTTTATCACGGTAAAAAATCACATAAAGGGTAATACAATTATGCAACATAATATTGGCTATAAAATCGATATCGGTTACTCGGCAGTACGTAAACTTAATCGGAAATGTCGGCGACACGATTAGAAATCATCAGAGACATTACTGACTGGCAGGAAACACCTGTCTGCAGGTCGAGAGGCAATTTCCTGGTTAACCTAACCCCCGTTTACCAACATATTACGTTGGCCAGATTGTCAAGCGTCACGTTCAGATAAGGAATTTCGAATTTTATCAGTTAAATAAGGTTTCTAACTAATTAGCAATTACAATCTGCAATTATTCCTTTCCTCATTAACAATATTTTTATGAAACAAAGAAATTAAGAGAATTACATTTGAGAGTGACTTAAAATGATCAATTTTCAAATAATAAACAAATCATTAATTAAAATTAATAATTAAATCATTTGATCATCGCCTAAATGTGGATTAAAATATTGGCCGATTTTTATTAACCATATAATGGCGTGAAATTCCACGGTAAGGCGAGAGATTTTCAATAAAAATTGTCGTCGCCCGGGGACGACAGATGGTGGTCATAAAAGCGAATGCACCGCGCCGCTTTTGTTTGCTCGTTATTTCAAAAAGCGTCCATTAGGGACGTCCAGGGTGAACGCGAGCAAGGGTTGGTGCCAAGAGACGAGCAACTTTTCCGGGGACAAATCGGTCCTCGTAAATCTGCCTGCTGTCCATCTTCCCTCCCACGATTTTTCCCTCTTTCTACCCCCTTTGAAAATATCGGCCAACTAAAAGTCGACGACAAGTCGAAGGTATTCAAATATTTTCTCACGACACGAACAGCAACAGGAGAATGTACCTCCGCGGAGACGATCGAAATCCTTATCTGTTATCCTGTCAATTTTTATTTTAGAAAATAGAAGAATATTTGGCAACTTCGAATGATTTTATTTTTTACTATTCGTAATCTATTTAAATTTGAAAAGTTTCCATTTTGAATAAGTTGCAATATTTCGAACGAAAAATATAGATTTCTGTAATAAATCTAATTTGAAAATTCCTTCAAATAAATATATTTTATAGCGACATCGTAGATGATTCAGCTAAAGACTTGTTTTATTAACGCACACAAGTTTCACTTATCTAACTTAAGATTTACCGTTGCAGTTCCACCCAAGGGTACACGTTGCAGTCTACGTGTTTGTGCTTACGGTTGCCCTTTAATTAACGAATTTACGGAAACTTGGAATACGTAATTTAGTTTAGACAAGCAGTCGCGTAATTAACATAATTCATTCGTGAAGTTTTGTTTGTATTACCTTACGTATGTCGAAGAAACACATTGTTGTGGCTAATGTCTAACGCGTTAATCCTATCGTAAATACAAAGAATCAATTTAAATATTTCAACGGGTTCGATTCGTCGAAAGTGCAATTCGAGTATAAGAGAAACGAAAGAATTCTATTGTGGAGAATAAATTTCAAGAAAAATGGTTGGTACTTTTCAAAGAGGTGTAAAGTAAGCTCAGAAGAAGATCGAAGTGTTCACAACGTTGCACAAGTGGCGAGAGGCCATTTTCTAGATTAACCGTAAGCACATCCGGAAATCCTGTCGGACGACCCTCTCATAGCGGTCAGTTGGCCATTTTATTATGGTTGTTACACAGCTTTCTTCCTCGAAGTGGTGGTAGCCAACAAATCCTGGCATTAGTGCCTCGAAATAATCTTTTGAGCTATGTACCTTCGTCCCTTACCGTGGTTCAATTCATTCGTATTTTTCACGATCACATTTATGTGACCATTTTTAAAGAAACAACTTCATAAAATGGAATAATATTTTATACGAAGACATAAATCTACTCGTCCATCAAACGAAGAATGTCATTAGAGCCTATAATTGTAGCAGCTTCAGTGACGTTTAAGGAGAGTTTAAACATGTCCAAGAGTGTCGTAAAGTTTAATTCTTTTTCCGTCACGTTCGTGGTACGTAAGGAAGGAAAAAGCTTCCAGAAGGGACGAAGAATTTTTACCGGCGATGAAATTTATATACTCCACGAACGTGGATTACGTTTGCAAAAGGAAGTACCATCTAGACAGTAAAACTTCCCTCGTCTCTCTCGTGGTTTTCCCTTTCGCCTGCATGCATCGCGTCAGTTTTTCTCTGTTCTGTTTTCCCGCCCCTACCCCGAAAGAAATGCGTGTACTTCGGCTGAAACCTAGATACCCAGGTGCTCGTATTCAAAAATATACCTCGAGTTTTTCGTTACACGTGGCAGACCGTGTGTCTTCGAAATTCTCTGCTTTTCAAGAGTATTCCGTGCACTACTTATCTGAGCACTGGAATCTGAAATGTTTCTCGTTCGTGTTACAAATGGTGACCCAACGTAAAAAATCTCTTTCGAGGAAAATAGAGAGCGAACACTGAAACGAGAAATTTTCAGAAATTTTTTTCCACAATTTTCGTATTATCGGTCAGAAAAAATTAGATAAACTGATAAAAGCTCTGCTATTTATTAATACCTGAGGGTGAATTTGTAAATTGAAATATTGAACATCGAAAGCCTCCAGTACCATTCTTTAGAAATTTTCAGAAATTTTTTTCTACAATTTTTGTATTGTCAGTCAGAAAAAATTAGATAAATTGATAAAAGCTCTGTTATTTATTAATACCAGAGGATGTATTTGTAAATTGAAATATTCAAAATCAAAAGTTTTTAATTACGAATGCATCCAGTACCATACTGAGCATGTCCATTGCTACGAACGAAGTGTAAATCATCGAACGAGTTCGATGGATCACGCGGAGCGTAAACCACAACTAGTGATCGAAACCACATCACTACGTAGTTTTCGTACCTCCTGCGACTCGTTAGCCGAACGCGGTTATCCGGAGGACGAACTTGCTAATTAGTTGCTCGACGTTTTTGCTTGCGAACATCCAGCCGAACTGCGCGCAGCTATTACGTTTATCGCGGCTGAAACTCCATAAACTGTTTCGTCACGCGTGTCGTTTATATTTTTTCAGAGGTGCCAACGATGTCAAAACTCGGCCAATTTAACGAAATTAGCTGTTCAATGAACGGAAACTTATGTTCCTTCGTTAAATATATTCTTTAACCAATTCCCAGCCTCGCCTTTGATAATTTAGTTTAATTTATAAATTACAACTCGGGTATCATTGCAGTTCAAAGGTTTATCTATTTTATTATCATAATTTTCATGGTAGTCCCCCGTGAACCGGTTGACGAGTATCGCATCTCGAAGAACGGCTCGCAATAAAGGGAAAAAGTAGAAGGAAATGTTTTATGTCCTGCACACAAGAGCGGAAACTGGATTCTCCCCGGTGCTCTTTTTGTTCGCGCATCCGCGTACTGACTTTTTACGAGACCCGCGAAGAATGGTTTCCGCCACGATAAAATTCACGCGACTAGTTGTCCGTCTTTGTTTGCCAGAATAGGCATGGGTGTTATCATTTTCAAATTTTCCCTTTGTTTTCTCTTCACTGAGAATCTTACTAATTTCACTCTCTTCGGCCGGCTTTCGAATCGCTTCTCTTCGAGTTACCGTAAATTGCAATTGAATAAAAATTACAAATTCAAGAAAATTCTAAACAGCAAGTGGAAACGTTTTCAATTGAACCATAATGGTACGAGACTTCGATCTTTCTAAATTTGTCATTTAATATGCAAACGTGCTTAAATCCCGCATTTAAAATTCTATAGCGAGGCTGAGAAAAAAAAATAGAGTTTCGGCGAGGTTTTGTCCCTTTTTGGCATCGAATATTCGGATCGTTCGGTTAGGGTCGAAGCAGTCAAGATAATACCGAACGGTTGCCAGTTCCCGTGAATAGTTACACGTTCGATTGCCACGGCCATGAATGTCTATCGAATCGACTCCAGGCTCTCCCAGGATCCATGTAAATACCAGTATCAAGCTTTCGAGTAGGCATTAGAACGGTATTCAGTTTGCGTCCTGCTCGTTCGGCTACAATGCCTCGAAATGTCGGTTGAGTTTCACGCGCACCTATTTTCCCGACCTGGAGTCTATTGAACGCGAATAGAAGGAAAAGAAACATATCGGCCATGAATACAAATAGAACCTGTCCAAGATATGCGCCGATACGTTCTGCACGTGCTGTTACCATCTCGGTATCCGGCCCGATGGTCAATGGAATTTCGATCCTATTTCTGCATCAAATTTCGGGGTCAAAACGTGTACACGGTATCTCAAGATATTCTATTTGTGAATAAGATAGGACTTTAAGTAGTTTCATTATCACCTCATATTTAGTATAATTAAAATAATTAGTATGAAGAAAAGAGAAGGAAAATTTTAATAATTTTCTTTTTTAAATGAACACGTTCGAACCCAGTCGGGTGCATCTACCCCTATCAGAGAGGAAGTATAAATAACCTAACTTTGCTTCGAAAAAAGAATTTCAATCAATGAAAATTGGGAAACTCGAGCAGAAATTTTCTCGATTCGTATCTGGAGCGGAGAAAGTATCGGCACAGAAAGGCGACGAATGAAATTTTATTAGACGGTTCCCTCGGTAGATTGATCACAGGTCATGTGACCGTTTATTGTCCGTCGAAACAAAGTGAAATTCGGCCGCGGCGAAAGTAGAGCGAAGCGTGGATGACACGCTTCGCAGAGTGGAATAAATTCGAACCTTTTGATCGCTGCCGCTTCCTTCATTCGGCCGTTCGATCGTTAAGGCGGTCAATTTCGAAACGGACTTCTGCCTTTTTTATTTTTTTATTTTTTTTCACGCGAAGTTTGTTAAAAATTCGATGTTTTAAAAAAGAACCGTATTTATCGGCTTCTGTTGTTACCAATTTTTGAGAAGGGATTAAAAAATTTAGCGGAAAAATTGGTAGAGAAAATCTTGAAAAATACCTGAGCCTCCTTGGTCCGTAGCTAGCTTTCAGGGACAATGGAATAGTTGAGTCACGGGATTCACGGCGTACCGCAATGCCTCCAGTTATTTTTCAAAAGCTCCCATTTCCTGCCAGCCCGGCTGGAAAGATACGAAAGAAAATTTGTTGTCTTCAAGCCTGCCTTTCATACACGCAATAACTCGTGCAATAAAAACCTGGCCAATAACTCGGTCGTGTTGTTGGTACAAAGGAGGTTCAAGCCGAAGGAGCACGAAGGGGAAATGAGAGGAAGCATTAAACTCGATTCGCATTACAAGAACAAGGGAACGAACGAGACGACCATGGTGAATGAAATACTGTGACAGCTATGATAATCGATATGATCGAGTGGAATCGATCCAACGACATGGGAACGGTTATAAATTTCCATTGCAATTGACGTTTTAATAAACATCATAATTTAACTCGTTTGATACTGGACAGAGTTATTTTAATTTAGGAAAATGAAGATTTCAATTTTTTTTTTTTTTTAACTTAGACTTGAAACACGACATAAAAATTGATGTAAAACACGTTCTCGTAACATTCGCAATGTTTCTGGGAACGTGGTGCTATGAAGACCATTGTTTGCAACGAAAAAGCAATACCTGTCGAACACCTGGCAAAGGTTCGTTCGTGTCCGTGAAAAAGCACCTAACACGGATATAACAGTAGGCTAAAAAAGGTAGGGAAGGAAGAAAAATAGAAAAGCGGAAGGTGAAAGGGCATGGAACGAGCAACAGGAGCCACGAAGCGTGAAGTTTTATGATATTTGAAAGAAGAAATGAAAAAGAAGAACAAATGACGGACGTGGGTAAAAGGTGGAGGAATATGAAAAAGATTCCACTGTTAAAATGCAAAATGCCTGTTTCTCCCTGCAAAACAATGCACCCTTTACTGATTTATTGTCAATGTTTTTAATATAGACTAAATGTTATAAAAAAATTCCAATTTTGAAATAAAACATTCAATATGGATAAATTTTAAAACAAACCATTAATCGGAATTTAAATTGACGTTCACCTATATTCGCAGAAGGTGCATTGTTTTCAACGTACGATTACAATCAACGTTACAATGCAGGAACAAAAAAAAGGAAATTCAAGAAAATATTCAATAAATGGTGTAGGCGAAAAAATGCACGTCACGAGCATAGAATTCATTCCGTTTCAGCGGAGAACAATACTCACGAATTTGTAAACAATTTTTAACGTTCGCCTGCGCGCATCGCGATATAAAAAAAAAATAAAAACGAATTGCGGTGAATAGGATTTGCATTTGAGTTGCAGTTGGAGAAAAAAGGAGACAGGAAAATAGACTGTCACGTTGCGACAATATCTAATTTCCCAGAGAAAGGTCTTTGTCGAAATTGCGTGGATAAATCGTACGGCAATTAAACGAGGTCGTGGGTGGAAATAGCGAAGAGCGATATAGGATAAATATGGAATATTAAAGCGAACTTTACGAAGCTTCGCGACAGCGTTGATTTAATTCAAGCGCGAATTAAGTCAACAGGCATGCGAGCAGGAAAGATTTGTGAATCGCTCGTTTAGCAAAATCTGCGGCAATATTTTTGCAAATGAAATTACAGTTTTATTTAATTTATGCAACAGATTATCCGAACCACAGTGTCGGTGGCATCCTTTTAAATTTATAATAAAATCATTATTTTCTGTAAACATTTCTTTCGGAATATTTCAATAAATTAATAAAGTAGCGGTCATTAAAATTACCTTAATTTTCACGTTATTACCTATTTCAATTTTCCACGTTTCTCAAACCTTCCGTTTCCCACCATCTCATTCATGCGATTGGGTTACAAGACGAAATTGCAAGCTACACGAGCAAGGAGCAAGGCGCTATTGTTCGAGACAGATCTCAACAAGTTTCTAACCCGGACATATCCTCCCCAATTCCACCCTCCGTAGATCGGAAGACGCATCGAACGGGACGTTGAATGTTAGCGTTGATCGTGGATCGCCACGGATCAGTCTGTTCTCTCATCCCTCTTTCTGGATATCCGCAGGAGAAGCCAAGACTGATTGTCCCTAGTGAAACTTCCTTAATTATCTCGCCGTTCGAGGAATAATTCGGCCGATTCGGACAGGCTGCTTTACAAATCTGCTCGACGTCTCGCGACGAACGGAACTTCAATTTTACACCTCGTCATTTTCCCTTGGAAAATCTGACTCTTCTATTGGAAATTCTTTTTCCAAATCTGAACATTTCTAACACTCGAAATCTACCATTTGGAAAATAGTTTCTATCGAAGACCGCAAAGCAGAAGGATTAAAGACGGAACGTTTCCCTTGAATGCGATGATACGGATTTGCAAGCAGTTTGTCGAGTTCCTCGGTGGCCGGATGCCGGCAACTTTCAACCAAACTCGAGACGAAAGGTGACAACAGAGGGCAGGGTGGCGGTCGACAGGAAGCGGATAGTCGTATCTTGGCGATGGTCTAGGGGGTTTTGTGTTTTCCAGGCGACAGCCGGCGCTTTGGGAAAGTAAGCCTAAGAGGGTGTGAGACGAACGTGCCGTCGATGCGACGATGCTAACGATACTCGGACGGAAGAGGAGGGTTGGAACGGAATCCCGAATGCCAAGAGTGTCTTTGGCCGAGAGCTTCTGGTAAACGAGCAAAACGAGCATGCGACCAAGCTGAACGGAGAAGTTCCTTTTGGCAAATGTCCTGAAATGCCGAGTCTTAAAACATCGACCGGCACCCTATTCGCTAACCCGAACATACCGTTGCAAATATATTACAATTGTTTGAATTCTACTTTAATTACTTTACCGTTATAAGTAATATTCAGGATAGCTACTGAATTTAATGAGCAAATTAAAAAAATTTTACCTAAAATTCTAATCTATATTTTATAAACTATGTCATCTTTTTAATGTTCCCGTATTTAAAGATATTCCGTGGCTTTTAAATGCGCGAATAAAACACCTGCAACGCGACATATGGCGTATTATAAACTCGTAAAGCCTGTTCAAAATCCAATTCCAAATGCAAAATAGTTAGGAGAATTTTAATAAAGCGATGTTTGAAATATGTTCTGTGAGGGGATAAAATTTGAATATGAAAATGTATCTACATCAACGTAATAAATATCATACCTATACTTAATTGTGTACCTTTCATATCCAGTTTCTTTTTTTTTTTTTTTTCATTTCATATTGGTAGAAAAAAAAGGTTTTTTTGTTGTAGGTAACTTTGGAGAGGAAAGATACTTATAATTGGGTGTTCTCATTTAAATGCTTCCTCATGTACGAAAGGTGACGTGACGAAAATGCGAAAGTCGAAATCCTAGCTTGTCTTCTTCCTCGTGGAATTAGTCACGGAAGATTAATTTGGCACGCGGACCTACGCTTTACGAGGCTACGTTGCCAGCCAACTCGTTAATTTTTTAAATCTCACGCTATCACAATGTTCACCAACCCCGGTCCTAACTAACAAGAGCCTTGTTGACTGGATATTTGGATTAATAGGAACGATAACCGTACTGAATTAAACATCAATTTTCGAATATCATTTTCAGAGGTAATTACAAACTACGAGATTGATAATTTAATTGCAATGTATAACATAGTATTAGGTTGTTATTAATAAATCTATGTTGTACGAAGTTGGATTTCAATTTAAAAAAAAATCAGACGATCCTATCGCGCAATTTTTTACCCGAAAATCGCTCGATTTCGAACCACTGATACAGCAGAATTTTAATGCTGATTTACGATTTGCTTCGAGCGCTTTATCAATCGGCCATAGTTGAGCATAAATTGGTGCTGGTATAATGCACTTTCCAGCGCGTATTTGGCTCTCCCTTGTCGCCGTTTATCAAAACGTTATTATTCAGATAATCGTTAATTGGACTGTAATACTCTTGAATGATTTGTTACTTTCTACCCGAAGATAAATATATAGATCTTTACTTTCATCGATCAGATTTCTTTAAATTTTCCTATTTTCTCATCTAGAAAATAATTACAAATTTTATTTATTGTATCTATCTAACTCCGCACAGAAGCCATAGAGGGAAACTTTCAAATCCTCAAATTCTAAAACAAATTTCTCCGTGCAACCAAACCGACCGCGAGATTATTCAACTCTCGGTATCGTTCAACCCTCCATAGGAGGTGGCTACATCTTCCCAAAATCTCAGACTTAATATTCATACCAGTGCCGTGTCTTGCCACGATCCTTGAATCCATTACCGACTTTCACGGCACCGATTAGTAACGAGGCCAAGATTTCATCCGGTTTCTAGGATAGTCTAGGAGCAAAAAGACCTGCTGTTCCACCCTCTTCGAAGGAACATTAATTCCACGAGAACTAATACTCAAGATGTTTCAACTATTCGGCGATCTTGAAAAATTTTTATTTTTCCATAAACCATAAAACACCTTAACACCTTAAACGTACAGTACACGGAGGTATGGCATTCAAAGGGTTAAAGAAGCTGTCGAAAGCAAAGAATAATGGAAGAGGGTGAAAAACGGCTGACGAAGGAAAGGGGTCGGGTATGGTTGACCGGTGGAGGATTTATAATAAAATGGTCGAGTAAGCGGTAAATTCCACGATGGTTTCGTGACCGATTCCAGCGCAAGCATCACGAACGATACTCGCCAAGGGCCTATCCAATGCTTTTCGTTTCGCTGCTTTCCATCTTCTCCACGAAGTAGTTGTGCCTCGTTCGAGCCGTTCTAGACGTCACGTCTACCCCTAAGAAAACTGAACTGCTAAGGGTGTCACGATGGATCGTGACCTTCGACGAGAGCCGTCTCGAGCATGATAGAACGGAAACCTATTCGAATATAGTCACGAAGAAGGACTGTGATTTTTCTCAGGAGGTCAATCTACCCCGACGAGTACGTGCTGAAGGATGAATACTGATGTACGGCTACCCTTTCGTCACCCGAGACACTTCGCAAACCCTTTTTCTCGTAATTTAGGGACGACGATTACTTCACCCAACTCTGTTCATTAACCCTCGAGGAGACTCGAGAGGTGAATATTCTTTAGCTTGATTACAGTAGCGGATGAAGTATTATTTGAAGAAAGAAATTCTTTGGAAAATTAGAAAAGAAGGAGAAAAT